GGGGCGAGGCGGCTGCACCTCCCGGGGCCGGTTCTGAGTTCCGAGGGTGACCCAGCCACCCCACCCCGAGCCTGGGAGCGAGGGATTCGCTGCCGCCGCGGCTGGGGCGCCCGTCGGATCGAAGCCCGGGGAAGGGCACAGGCACTGCCGGGAACCTCCGCGAACTGGATGAGAATCCATCTTCCACTGGCGCTGGGAATCATAGACTTTGCAAAGAGATATTATGTAATGGAGTCTCGAGACGTCTCTCCAGCGAAGCTGCTGGTGAATTAATTAGGTGCTTTAAACAGTCTAGGTAAATGGGGGGAGGGCGGGGCCGCTCTAGCTTGAGTTGGATTTTAATTGTCCGCATCTTGTGTTCCCGTGTGTTTTGTCGCTCCGCTGTCTGTGCCGAGGGGCTATCTTGTGGGAGGAGGTGATGGGAGAGTCACGGAGCTGAATTTTTCTCCCTTGAGTCAGGCCGAATACTGGATTATTACAAGTCTTGACAGGACACTAAGCCCGGAAACCTCATTCATCATTCAAGTCATCTGATACTGCCGCTTTCTTTCCCGGTCTCTAGGACTAAATTGATGGGTGGTGTGGTGTGGTGGTGTGTTTCAATTTGTTTGATTTCTCATTTATGATGAGTGTATCAATAAAGATGTGTGGTAAATATCCTTTGTGACAAACCAGGTAGAGAGGGGGAGAAAACCCCGAAGTGATGCAAAATGCATCGTGAGTGGAGGGTGTTTCTCTCCACTGACTGTCAGGAAATATTCTCTAAAGCGTGTTGCAGGGTCTGTAGGCCCTTTGGTAGCCCACCAATCCCAGGATGACTACCGCGGTCAACAAAATTAGTGCACTGGCAAAAGAGGCAACAAGAGCAAAGAATCACGTCTGTGGCAGAGCCAAGTGGGAATGGCTGACCCTATGATCCAAGATGGACCGGCAGCAGAAAGGATCCTGAAAATGGCGTCTCAGGGACTCAGAGTTGATAGCCTGGCAGTGTAGGGGGAAAGGAAACAAAAATGCCTTTGAAATCCTCTGTTTGCGGAACAAATTTCTACTTATGATAAATATTTGGGTTTGGTCACTCTCGTTAGCAGTGGAATATTCCCTAGTACTGGCATCAGCACCATAAACATTTCTCCAGTCAAAGATTGTCCTGAGGAGGGAGAAGAGGCCTATTCTCGCTTCCAGAGCACCTCTGGGAAGCTGGCCATGGAAAGGGAGAATGAGCAGCCCATTTCTAGAACAGCGGAATTCCTGTAGGGAACTTCGGCACCTGGTGTAGTGGGTTATGTGTTGGCCTGCTAACGGCAAGGTCAGCAGTTCAGAACTACCAGCCACTCTGTGGGAGAAAGAAAGGTGTTCTACTCCCTTCAAGAGTTAACAGTTTTGGAAACCAACAAGGACAGTTCTACCCAGTCCTATAAGGTCACTATGAGTTGGCATCCACTCTATGGCAGTGAGGTTTAAATTGGGGGGATGGGTAGTTTCAGGGAGGTGATAAAAGGCATTGTGTGAGTCAGTTAGAATACCTGTTGGAGCCCTCACTGTAAGACTATAATTATAAGTATAATTATAGTGGTAAAACCATTTAAAATATGCCAGCGTTTCTGTTAGCAATACCCAAGAAGAATAGGACACACAGTTGTTAACAAGGTTCAACACTGCTGAGAGCATGGTGGTTTCTTTTACCCAACAAGGCACCAGCACTTCACCCTGGGATTTTTTTTTTTTTAGTTTTTAAAAGTTATTTTTAACAGTGTTGACATATAATTCAAAAACTCTTAAAATGTAATAGTTAAAACATACTAAAGAGTTTTGCAGTCATCACCACAATCAATTTGAGAACACTTTCTTCATTCTTGTACTCGTTATTACTAGCTCCCTATTGTCCCCCAACCCCTAAGATGTAACTGCTATCTTTTACAGCATTACTTGTCCTGAATGTCACCTTAAAAATCACAGAAACCAAAAGAGGAACCCCCAACAGCCACAATGGCACAACAAAAACAGAAGAAAACCCTCAGACCAAAAGGAAGCAGAAAATAAAGACCAGAACAATAAAAATGGGTCAAAAGGGAGAGCATAAGGTCCTGAGTTTTATCCTCCTGTAAAGAGTTACAGTCTATGAAATTCAGAGGGGCTTCTACCCCGTCCTACAAGGTCACTATGAGACAGAATCAACTAAACGGCATTGAGTTTGTGTTTTGTTTGTTTGAGTTGAACTTGGTTACTAATAACTAAAGACAAGTCCATTACAATTTTACTTTTCCTCTTTCTTTTTTAAGTGCCACTCAGACCACGAATTAAGTTTGAGGGATAAGGAATCTGGAGGGAACCCTGGGATTTGCCAACAAATTATCATCTGTGTCTTTTTTTAAAGCCCATTCTTGCAGATGAAGTTATCTATATTACTGCGTAAATGCAAATATAAAAACATTTAAATATGTAACACTAAGACTCAACAGGAAAGGACAAGGTCAAGTGATGGATAAAACTGTAGCAATGAGGAAGCCATTATGATGTGTGTGTGTCTGTGTGTGTGTGTAAGGCAATATCAATATATGAATATTGAGGGTTAGAGAAAGCTTGAAATTGAACAAAGGCGAGGGAAATGTAGAGGGCAGCAGCCACTGTTCCTGGGATTGTCCTGGCAAAGCTCCCTGGAAGATAGGTAGACACAAGTTGAGAAAAAACAGAGTTGTCAGAGGAATTCATATTATACTTAGAATGGGTTGGAGAGATGAATAGCCTAAAATGGGCATATCAGCTCAAGAATATTCCAATCCCATGTGGGTTTTGGCTCTAGAATGAATAACCATAGCAGTAACAGACAATTTTTTTGAAGCCAGTAACTAGTGGCAAATGAGAAACCTGCAAGGGGTTGGCAGTTTACTTGAAACGAGTGTGGGAACCAGGAGTTGAGATATGAAGTCATTTTCCTTGTTAATTTAGGAGGTGACCTCAAGCCATTGAGGTTGAAGCTCAAAAAGAAAAGTGTTTACACATGCTCAGTGGCCAGACAGAAGGAGGTTGGGTATACTCAACATGGTGATAATTGGGAGCTAGGGGGGAAGTGGAAGAATTACTTGGGTCCCAAATGGCATATACAAGGGCAAGACTTCAAAGCCATACATGGGATTTGGCTTAATGCCTTCCCTGAGAAATGCCTTGCCTTACTGAGCTTATTTCCTATTTGTTCTAGATAGTAAGTACCTCTGGTTATCTCATTTAAGTATTACATTATGAACAATTCTTTATATTGCTCTGAAAACCATTAGTTTGTTGAAATGGGGGTGCAAGGGTGTGGTAGAATTGAAAACACACATGCTTGAATGAGTGAATGGCTGGATGGATGAGCTGCAAAAGGAGCACAGGGAAGACAACAGATATTCAGAAGTCTGTGACCCTTCTCTCTTGATTTTGGGAAATCCCTCCAAAATAAGCACTCCAAAGGGATGGTTGAGGTTGAAGGAAATCTTCCAAACCGGTGGGACAGGGGGGCTTGCTGTTCGTGTGTGAGGGGGTGTAGGGAGTGTGGGGAGAACGTCTGCAAAGAAAGAACATGAAATAAGTGTAATTCTGATGGCGTCTTAGAAGAAGAGGTAGTCTGCCCTCTATTGGCCATTTGGGGGGTCTGAAAGGGAGGGGTTTGCAAAATTGTTAATAATGTGTGAGAATCAAAAATGCCCAGTTGGGGGCCTAACAGAAAATGGACATGAGAGAGCAATCAACAGAATACAAGTATTTGAGACCTCCTGGAATCCACAAGGTCAGAAGTTCAAAACCACCAGCCACTCCTTGGGGAAAAGACCCGGCTTTCTACTTCGGGAAAGAGTTCATCTCGGAAACTCACAGGGGGCATTTCTAGCCTGTCCAGTAGGGTCGATGTGAGTCGGCATGGACGTAATGTCAGTGAGCGTGGTTTTGAGTTTTCCTGATACACTGTCTATCCCAGCATCTCCCCCACAGTCACTCTCTGGAATACTCATCCCGTTCAGGTCTTCTCTTCCCCCAAATGACAACTAAAATGTAGAAGATGCCTTTTCAGTCACTTAACTCTTTAGAATTGAATTCCCAAAGAGAAAAAGAACTCATTGCTTAATAAAAATGTTACATGGAAGGTATATGGAAAGACTGGAACAAACAGAGCTGACTCTTTTCTCCCTCCTCCCACCTTTCAGTTCTCCTCGGCTGCCCTCTGGACAGGCTCTCACCTAAACTAGACATTAGCCTATTTCAGTAATACAGGGGAGCTCCGAGTTGGGGCGAGCAGAACATCTGATCTTGGGTCCTGAACCTGGTTCTTGACAGCGTTCCACCTTGCCACCACTTAGTACCTCACTTTGACTAACAGGGTCCTAGTCTGATTCACCCCCTCTGTGTATAGTAGCTGCCCCACAGCTACTATTTGGGCAACAAGACATGAAGCACAGAAGGTACACATGCTCTCAAATGCACACACACACACACACACACACACACACACTTCCTGCTGAGTTGATTCCTACTCATAGAAACCTCATGTGTGTCAACATAGAGTTGTGGTTCCATATGTTTTTCAATGGCTCATTTTTCAGAAGTAGATTGCCACCCTTTTCTTCTGAGGTTCTTCTGAATGGACTTAAACCTCCAGTCTTTCGGTGAGGAGCCTCGCTCATTGACCATCTACACAGGACGCTCCCCAAGCTCCCTGCCATCACGTCATTTTGACTCATATGCCTCCATGTAGTGGTTGCTGTTAGGTGCCATTGAGTTGGTTCTGACCCACAGAGACCCCACGCACAACACAATGAAACACCGCCCGGTCCTGCACCATCCCCACAATTGTTCCCAGGCCTGAGCCCATTGTTGTAGCTCCTTTGTTCCGCCTCTGCCCTATCTAACCTGATGCCCTTCTCTAGGGACTGGTCTCTCATGACAGCATTTCCCAAGTAGGTAAGAAGTCTCACCATCTGGTCTTCGATCTTCCAAGACAGATCGGGTTGTCAGTGTTATCACTCCATGGTGCTTTCAATATTCCTCTCCGGCACCATAATTCAAATGCATCGACTCTTCTTTGGTCCTCTTTATGCAGTAGCCAACGTTCACATCCCCCCATAGGACAGGGAAAAACTGCCTCCGTGGGCCCCAAGACTACCAATCGTTATGAGAGTAGAAAACCTCATCTTTCTCCTACCAAGAGTCTGGTGGTTTTGAACCGGTGACCTAGAGATTGGCAGCCCAATGTGTAACCCGCTACACTTTAGCTTGTGTTCAAGCCTGGTATAAGATCCTCTTCTGTGTGTGTTTGTGTGTGTGTTAGTTATCCTTCTGAATCGATTTCTTCCTCTGTGAAATGGAGCAAGGATACCAAATTGTGTGGATTAAGTGGTTGCTCTCCTTTTTATGCTTTTTAAGAGGCCTTCTAATAGCGCATCAAAGTCTTCCTGGTGGCCTTGTGGGTTATGAATTGGCCTGCTAACCACAAGTTTTGCAGTTTTGAAATCACCAGCGGCTCTGCTCCCTTAAAAACTTACAGCCTTGGGAACCCACGGGGCCGTTCCACGGTTTCCATAGGGTGGCCGTGAGTTAGAATGGATCTGATAGCAGTGAATTTGGATTTGGGGGATTGGACTGTCTCAACTGCTTGTTACCTGCTATCTTTGCACCCATTGCTATGCTGCAC